CCTGTCAGCATGGCCGAGCTGAGCCGTCTGCGGAGGCAGTTCATAAGCTACACCAAGATGCAGCCCAGTGACGAAAACTTACCCCAGCTGGCCAGCATGTTCCTGCAGTACCTGAGCCGCAACATCCAGTGAACCCTGTCACCTGTGCCACGCACAGCAGTGGCCGTGGCCCAGCCCCAAAGTACTTGCGACAGTAAGAACATGCCTTCCAGCCGCAGACCCCACGGAGGGTGGGTCCCACCTATGGCATATAGGATCATGTGGCAACAACAGCTCTGGGAAGATGGATGCCATGTCCCTGCAGCAGCTGGGCAAGCTGTATTGCTAAGAAGATCTGTAGGGATGCTGTTTTCCCCACCCCCTTGCATTTTCCCCACTTGCATCTTTCAAAAGGGAGAGCTACGGTTGCATCCCCAAGCAAGTGAAGTCTCCTTCACATAAACCCCGCTAATCAAATAGTGTCTTAATCCGAAAGCCTAAAAAGGTGACCATAGGGAAAACTTTTCCCCTCCGCATTGGCATGTGTATGTCTTGAATAAGAAGATTGTTTTTCCAAGGCTGTCTCCAGATAATGACAAACTGCAGAAGAACTGGAACAGGCTGTATTTTTAGGATGTAACTGTTTAAAAAATTCCTACTGAACCCTAGAGATAGATTTGCAAACTGCGCAACAGAAGGGTGCTGGCTTAGCAAACTCAAGCCTCTCTGTTTCAGATTTAACAATAAAATGTGTGCCTTAAATGGAGTAAAGTGTTAATTTACCTGCAGGACGATTTTACTGAAATAATTTGCTATGCCTTTTCTCTGCAAGGTCATCATTAAATGCCTTTAAGTACACTAATTGTTTTAAGAATGAGTGCTCTCATAGGAAAAATGAGCTAAAATGACAGTGTCTGTTGTGGGTGAAACTTCCCCATAAGTCTGTACCAGCTGTGATGGTAACTTAGTTTTGTGCTTAGTTTCAACTAATTTCAGTTTTTGCTATACCATGTATATAGCTTATATAAACTTTTTTCACTCTGGTGGGTGCTTCATCTTTCATTTTAATAAATTGTGGGTTTTGGTTTTAATTGTATGTGTAGTGCTACCTGGGAGGAAATGGTGAAGTGGGGCAGGAAGGGTTAGTTCAGTTACAGTGGCTGTATATATGACATACCAGCTGCTAGGTGGACTGGCGCATTGCAGAACTGAGAAATGACTACAAAAAATGTTTTGATGTGAATAGGTATATTTTCCCAGTCAAAGTAAAGAGAATAAAGCTGAGACAATACATTCATTATCTCTAAAACTTCTGTGAGTTCTCACTGGCTAAGAGTTGGTATTTCAGGACTGTGGGCACTTCCATTTAAAATCTGCTTTGAAAATCTCTCTTTAACTTTAAAAAAAAAAGTATGTTGCAATACCGATTACCAGATGATTGAAGTCTTGTGATGTGAAGCACTGATCCTCGATGATAAGAACAATGTGTATTTTCCAGACTTAAATCGGCCTCTCCTCAAGAAAGAGGCAAAATTGTGTTGGACTATATGGAAACAATGGGAAAAAAACTATTTTTTCATCATCATGGAGAGGACACTGATGCAATACAAGCTTTACGTGTATTCTTGCTCCTTACTGCAAACAATGTCCTATGTAAAGATGATAACATATTGGTTAGTTATAAATGGTGGACTTGTGTTTGAACTGCTCTAAATGTTAATTGCTTCCTCTCCACCGTTTCCTGGTTCTGAAGGCCATAACTGAATGCTGCTATGTAGATATTTCCTTTCATAGCTAGCTATAGCTAAAGAAAAACTTGTACTTCAGTTCTGCTAGTAATTTATTTAGTTGCTGTCATGTGCAAAGGTGTTTGTAATTTCTCTGCTGGTGAGACTTTCACTTATATTTTTAACCCCCAAAATGGTAACAGAGTTTACAATAGCAGAAAGTTTAAACTTGGCTTTTCTTGGCATATCCTGAAAGAAGTATCCATATAGTATATTCTCTGTGTCTGTGGATTCCTTCTTTTCCTTCACCTAGTTTTAGGCTGTTCTTACTGTTTGGGAAGCTATATCATTATTACCAGCTCCCCTTGGATACTCTTCCATAGCGTAAGGGGTTTATTGGTAAGAAAAAAGGGATGAGATACCCAATTCTTGTTCTTAGTCTTTCTTAGTTTATTGCCCTGGTCAGCTTTCACCAGTTCAACTGTTGGATGGTAGAAACAATGAAAGTGTTAGTAAGGACTTCTGCACACAGCAAGTGTGGAGGTAAGCGTTGTACTACCTGGATGTGTGCAATAGCAATAAAAGTCACCTGTAGTTGTATTGTCTTTCTTGTTAGAAAGGTAAAACTGGTGCAGAATAGTCAGGAGCAGTGAAGTGATGGATTAATTGGATCACCAGCACTAACAACAGGAAATGTGTGAAATTTGTAGTGTCTTTAAGGCCTCTTTGTCTAATCACAGTAGTGTGCATAATGCAGCCTGAATATTTCATAAAGAAGCTTAGAAAAATTGAACTTGGTAAGCTTGACTTTGCCAGAAGGTAAAATGCTAAAGGGATTTTTGAACAACAGGATTAGATAAAACATATCTCAGGGAGATGGAAACTTAGCCTTTGGGTAGCATAGGTAGTAAAGGTCAAGTGAATTATTTGGGAGGGGAGAATAATAAAGAATAACTGGTCCTTTTGCATTGCACTTTATTTAGGCTGCGGTTCCATGCAGTCCCCCCCTCCTCCTCAGTCCTGGCACTTGTCACATTTGCCACAGGTTTGTTTCAGCATAGCAACACGTAGGAAAGTAGCCCGACAGCCAGAGGGTTTGCTAGGTTACTGGGTGTGATTATTGCTCGATGGAGGGTCTTAGTCACAGGAGGGGACTGAAGCGTACAGACCGGGGGAGAGGAGTGGATGTATGACTCATCCACTGGATGGCCTGAAGCAGCCACAAAAATCCACCTTGAGATCTCTCAAGCAGCTGGTGTCACTAACCGCTTCCAGTAAAAAAAAGCATGACCAGTTGTGTATCTGAGCAGATCTCAACTAATAAGAGCAAACCTACCAAAGAGAGTTCTTGTCTACAAGAGCAGTTATTGGCTGGCAGTTACAATAAATTATTACTATACATGTTTTAAGATTGGGAAAACTTTTTGCAGGACAACCTTAAAACGCAGCAGAATCTGTTTACATCTCTCTTATTTTCCGTTACATTTAGACTGTTTAGAAGTCTTGACTGTTAAAATGTACATATAACAGAATTTGGTTTCTGTAAGCTTTATTTGACAATTTTCTTTTGTTTGTTTGTTTGTTTGTTTGTTTGTTTTTAGTGGTTTGCCTCTTATGGTTATCATCCACAAGTCTTGGTGTGGCGCATGCAAAGGTAAGTGTATTTAATACTACAGCTCGCTGCAATTTCTAATGAACTTTTGTATACAGATCACGAAACCACAAGAAACATGAACTTCACATTCAAAATGTAGCTAACGGTATTTGTATTTCATTTAGAGCAGTATAATATTGCACCACTTTACCTGTTAGCACTGCCAAAAGCCAGCCAGGCCTAAATGCCAGTAAACTAACAGCTGTAATGCTGCACTTCTGTAGTGGCTGCAAGTTCTCCTGTACTTTGCTATAAAAAATGGAACAGAATGAATGATCTTCAAGAACTAAGTGTAAATTGCTTTACTTTCAGCTGGTGGCGCTTCGAAGGTGAGGCTTTGTGTCTTTCGGTATCACAAACAAACAAGCTGGGCATAATGGCTAAGCTTAAAGGATGAACTGGTTGAGTGAGAACGGGTGGTTTACAGCAAGCTTTTTGCTTCTGTTCCATTGGTTCAAATATGACCACGTATGTCTGTTGGCCAGGCTTCATCATATGGCTGCCCACCAAAAATTACTTCAGTTACCTGCTGTTCTGAGCCTGGCTTGAATGGTTTCATACCATTCATACTCCACTTACTGCTTATTGAAAAGTACCAGCTCTCCAGAGGGAGGAATGAAGTTGCGATTTTGATGCTGACCTGAAAACCTGAAATCTTTTCCACTGTCTTTATGCATCTCTTATTTTTCTTTTTTTCCCTCCCCCCTTAATTAGCTTTAAAGCCAAAGTTTGCTGAATCCAAGGAGATCTCTGAACTTGCCCATAATTTTGTTATGGTCAACCTTGAGGTAGGCTGCCCTCTGATTTGTGTTCATGATACTGCCTAGTAATTAAGCATTTGGAATCCTACTTAACTGGTTGTATCCTGGTTTGTGTACATCCTAAATTGTGCACTCCTGAATAGGTATTCAGGATTGATTGATATAGCTGATTGTTCTAAAAATAATTTTCTTCAGTTTGGTTATTTTAATTGTGTTTATGAACCTGGCTCTCTGCCATTGTCTCTTTAACAATTTGTACCTTGTGTCATTCTGTTGCTGCAATAAAGGAATTTATATTCATTCTGTCATGACATACCAAACACTCCTACACCAAAGTGGAGCGTTTAATGCAAATAGACAGAACAGAAAAAAATACTACTATTTTCACAAATGGTACTTGTTTAGGTAAATATAACTTTCTTTCCTTTGAGACTGGAAGATACCGCAGTTACCTAGTGTCTGTTCAAGATGTAAATTACTCTGGATAAATGGAATCTGAAGGCAATAGCTTGTTTCTTTAAAATGGGTGTACTGTGTTTTGTTAGATACCTTGCTAATATGTTCCTCTCTTCTGTCTTGCTTTGGTAGGATGATGAAGAGCCAAAGGATGAAGCCTTCAGTCCTGATGGAGGTTACATTCCTAGAATCCTTTTCATGGGTAGGGAGTCCACAGCTGTTGTATCCACTCACAGGACTGTGTTCTTATTGTTACCACCTAAATTTCTGGTTTGATTTCTTGTTTCATAGACCCCAGTGGAAAAGTCCACCCAGAAATCATAAATGAGAAAGGAAACCCCAGCTACAAGTATTTCTATACCAATGCTGATCAAGGTATGTGCAAAGTAGTTTGAGGTGCATTTTTGGTGACATGAAACTCTAGATGTGTCCTGAGTGAAGGACACACCTTCACTTGTGAGTGGAGAAAAATGATGATACTTTACAGCGTAACTAGGAGCTGTTAGATACAACATGAGTTGAGCGGCTCTCTTATGCCTTGAGGAATCATGATTCACCTTAATACCTACTATAATGTCTATAGGACCTAAACGTTGTCTCCATTTGTGGCATGGAAAATCATGCAATTCACATGATCCAGCTACAAATAGTTGGGAGAAGGGCACAGGACTGTTTTTTTCCCCACAGATTAATTTGTAGTTCTACATTCTATAACTGTGTTATTTTAAAACACTTTAATTACCAGGACACCTTGATGTTTTCATCTTGAGATTAATAGTTGCTGTCTCTCTGTCTAATCTTTCAGTTGTCCAAGGGATGAAGGAGGCCCAGGAGAAGCTAACAGGTGATGCTTTCAAACAAAAACACCTGGGAGATGAACTATAATGAATACACTCAATGATGCTTT